GAACCCATACAGAGATTAATTACTGAAAAGCTTACTAAAGTTTTTTCCTTAGAAACGTTTGATATCTATCTCGTCATTATAAAGATTTCGCATGGGAAGTTTCAAAATTTCCTGATGCATAAAAGTATTCGCACGATAGTTAAGCAACATCCGAAAAGAAAAAAATAGACACGAGAAAAACATTGCTTTATAAACCTTAAGACTTAAGAGAAATATTGATATTTTGCGTATGAAAGTGTTGTAATGTTTATTGATAATCTGCCCGAGGTCAGTTAATATGATGACTTCGTAACCATTCTGTGCTTGTTATAGTTTTCTTGCTATAAATTGTAAATTGATAGCGAATCTTAAAGAAATTTTCAATGATGGGAATGTTTTAACTCTTTCAACATCTTGATGGAATCAAGTAGAATTCAAGGTTAATCAAATATAAATATTATCAATAAATGTAAACATCTATAAAGACAAGAGCTCCTTTGTTGTATTATAGAAGTGAACTAAAACCTCTAAATTCACGTGTCACATAGAACCATGTTTTTAACACCTTCTAATCATGTGATATAGTGACGTCATGGAAATTCACTTCAGATATCAAGTTCCTCTGTACGACTGCAATAAAATCCTTGGTACTTACTGTAATCCCCAGAGGAGAATACAGCTCAGTATACGTGTCTATTCTGTACATAATGTATTATATAGTTCAGTTACTATGTTTCTCTGATTTGTGTTGCGTTGGTAGAGATGGGCGTTATGGTGTGAAACACGTTGTGTTTAGAACAAATAGGGCCTGAAATAAAACAGATAGTAAAGTATAATTATAAATTTATATCAATATTCATTCAAAACTTCAAAATGCTTACCAGTATACTAAAATCAATGACAGTTCTTTTCATTAACGTTATCTTAGGTAATCTGAAAACGTTGTTTTTAAAGTAATGAAATTATAAAGGAATATATTACCTTCTAATGTAGTAATTCTCTGTTTAGCCAGATCTGTTAATTCCTCCACAGTAGACGACAGAGAATCGATAATTCCTTCCAGTGAACCAACAGTACTACAAGCAGTGTGGTGATGAACATTAGCCTGGGTTAACAAGAAGAGAGACAAAATAGAACCTCTCTACCGGTAGACTGTTCCGCCATCTATCATCACCACCAGAACCTTATAAGCTGTAGTTCTGTAGTCTAGAACAAATAGTTGAATTGTTGTTTCAGGTTTATAGTATCGTACAGCCTAATGATTGTGTTACAAGTAGACGGTAGGAACATAATTTTTATTTTCTTATTACAAATACATGTATGTTTTGTGATAAAAAAGAGATATTATAAGTAATTGTAAAATGTTAAAATTAACAATGTGTGTTCATATTACTAGTCTTCATTGTTCTAACTTAGAATCTTCTCCGTACGTATTTTGGACATCACAAACTTCTACTAGATCACCTACCGTCCATCCTCCCCCTACAGTCTCCATATCACAGTATACAGAGATCGGATGGTTCAGAAAATGTGGACATATCTTGAAGACACCATTTGTTTAATTTAATAGTTTTTTCAAAAGTTTTGGTAGAAAAAATATATATTGTGTCTATATAATAAAACAATTACCTAACCCAAATTCCCTGGTTAAATTTCCAAATCCAGTTTTGTACCTAGTCCACGTTTGGTAAAAGTCCTCAACCGGGTCTCCAAAATCACCCCTTCTTTGAATTAACTATCGAAATAGAGAGAGAGTAATTTATGTTATATAAACTGAACTTACATTTAATGAAATTCATCACGTGCTCATATATATCATACTGAAACATTTGCCAGCAATAAAGATAATTAACAATTATATTTATATAAGGGAGTCTAATAAATAAATATATTACCATTAACTATATATCTTACCTCAACTTTAATTCTTCACGATATCAATGATATAATCACCGTAATAATTTATTAAATAAAAATATAAAACAGGTATTACAAATTCGGAATGCTTCAGAGTACACATATATTTTTGTGTATTCCATCTACCAGGAAATGACGTCATATTCGCT